TTCACTCTTATTTACGCTAAAGTAAAACAGAAGTAATGCAATACAGTCCACGTCAGAGAATGAAAAAACTGAACACATTCTATTTTCTCTTTCAATCCCTTAATTTCAATTTTTTTATGACAGCTTTCTTGCAACAGGTGCTGAAAAGCTGGTTCAGTTCAGGTTGCCTGAAATTTCTCACAATGAAACTCTTACTTTTAATTGCATACAACTCTGCCAGCCATCAGGCTACCAGTTGAAATTTTTCATGCCAGATGTCTGACATAGATTGAATATCGATTTTCTTTTCTTCAGCATTTCAGCAAAAAACAATATTAGTTTCCTCTGAGATTTGTGTAAACTTTGAATAAAGCAGCAACAGAAATTGACTGGAGCTATACTTTAAATTTATAGATCTGTACAAAAGTGTTAGCTGTTCCCTTAGTGTGCTTTGAAGATAAAATTGTATTTGTGAAGCACCAATGCTCTGCACTGCTGAAACACCCAGAGAAAATAACCAGAAAATTCACCTTTCAATGTGAAGAAATTCACCTTCCATTGTGGAGAAAATTCACCTTTCATTGTGAAGTCTGAATAAAGGATAATGTGTAAGGCCACATGATTAATGACGAAGATTAACAGAAATAGTGAAGATTTATTGAAAGAGACAGGATTCTCTGAGAAAAAGTAGTAAGTGATCATGCAGCTAAAGACTATCAGAAAAAGTACATTGACAAAAGGACTACATTTCTCACACATGCTTAACTCTCTTTTTCTTATGTTTTTAAATGCTAAACTTTACAGCATTATCATTCTTTACTGTTTAGTTCGGGGGGAGGGGGGGGGGTCGGGGGAAGGATTACAATATAGACCGACAGAAACTATGGCACACAATACTTAACAGTATGTCGCGTAGTATTTGCCATCGTAAGAAAAAAACATAGAGCTGCTTCTTTGACATCTTATCCAATTTACTATCAAAAGAGTCACATCAGTGATCTACGCTGTCTGGAACCCTGAAGGCTCAGAACTGCAGCTATATACGTATCTTCCTGCAAGGTAACTGGGGACTGTTAACAAATGTATCTTCCAAAACAGTTCTCATCCAGGTGATAAGTAACTGATAAGTAGGATAGGGGGATTATTATGTCTCTGGTGCTAACAAACCAATTAAACTGATATGAGCATCTACTGCACATGCTCCAAAGGCTGCCAGAAGTGATGAAGACTGTTGGAAGAAGTAGACCCTCAGAGACCACCACCACAACTCTGTACACATGCGGGGAACTCTCTGGAAAATGACATAATTCATATGTAGCCTCATGAATATGTATGTATGGACAGGGACTGTAAAAGGATGGCTTGTGTGGCAACGGGGGGACACACGTTAGGAGGAGCTATCCCCTGTGTCTCCCAGCACCGCAATAAAGAATACCTGCTTGTCAGCTTGAAAACTTTGTTGGCAAGTTTGTTCCTGGAGTTGTCTCCGAATCACTGGGGTTGAGACTTCAGATTCTCTCCATCGCATTTCCTACTGTTCAGTCTCCTCTGAAATACCAACAAGCAGCAAGCACTGAGAAAAAGAAACTGGGTGTCAGTTTAGCCTAACTGGTCCTAAACAAATGTTTGATCAGCTCAACCCTTTTTTTAAGTGAAGTCTCAGTGATGGGCATCGACTTGAAAAATCTTTACTGTTACCAAGAGGGAGTTGAAAAAGCCTGTCTGTAGACTCAACAAATCTTTCTACATATTGTACCATCTTTTCTTACAAAAAATACAGATACTGTGCATGAAAACTAATTTCTATTGTTTCCATAAAATATTCCTCAATATCTGTGTGAAGAAATTAAAGAGGAAAGAGTACCAGATATAGCTCATAGCAAGGACTGATTCAAAAAATAAAAGCCCAAGTTAAGCCATCTTGTCATCCAAATTTGAATGAAAAACTGTGTTTTCCTGAAACAATCTAAGTAGAGACCTTCCCTGTGCAAACTCTCCACAAAATTATTCAAAGTATTAGACTGTCACTGAAATAAACATTCATTTCATTTTAAAAATAACCATTAAAAAAAAAAAAAAGAGAAGAAAAGTGACTTGAGGCCAGTTTTTGTCAGTGACGTAAATATCAAGTGCATTCAGTAACTTAGTTTGAATTGTTCCAGGTTTGCAGTGTGATTAATTAAAGTAAAACCTGGCTCTTCATAAGTGTTTCATTAAGTCTGCAAAGTAAGGCTGAGAGCTGGATAGCCCAGTGCAGGATGACCACTTGGAACCTTGCAGCAGTCAGGAATAAGGATGCCATGTTACCTGCAAAACATTATTTACCAGGGTACCCCAAGTTCTGTGAGCAACCTGTTCCAGTGTCTCAGCACCCTCATAGTAAACCCATCACATTACTCTTTAATGCTTCGTACTGATTCATCAAACTTAACCTAAAATGAAAGAGTAGTAAGGGATATTCTGTTGACCCATCCTACATGTCAACTTTGGACTGTTCCTCTATGGGCTTATTAATAACTCTGCTACTGTCATTGTTCAGAGGAAGACTTTTACAAGGGGCAGAGGCAGCCAGCCCGTGGTGATGGGCAGCAATGAGCCACCATCAAGGGCAGGAAAATTTGAACATCGTTCAAGGTGAGTAGATGCAGGCTTCTATACTAACTCCCTTAAATATGAAAACTAAGTTTTCTTAGATTCTAAGACTTCTTTTTTAAACAGCATGTTTTTGAGCTATGTTCTTTACAAGAAAAAAAGGAAAAAAAGAAAAATATGTTCAAAGCATAATTGTTTTAAAAGCCTCAAACTGCCAATAGACTTCCTCTTTCCTGGAAAAGATAGCCTCAGTTCTAAGTATTTTGATAGAAGAAAGAATTCTCCTTGGAAATGTAGTCAGATCTAGTATGGAATCTGCCTTGCAGTTGCAGTTAGTATCTCCGGCACCATGATGCATCTTTTCCCAAGAACCATGAAATTTACTTGTACACACTTGTGCACACCCTCAGATGCCCTGAGAAATGAGCATTGTGCATGGCTGCGTCTGATAGATGCTGTTGGGGTGCAGCTGGCAGATTGCACACAGGGATGCAGTATAGCAGGATCCTTTCCCAAGAGAAAGCACCAGAGAACTACCTGAAATACTAATTGTGGATGAGCAAAGAATTATTAAAGCAGTTACTGCTCCCACCTCACTAAAATTGTCTCCAACTTTCCCAGCTACACCCAGGTGAAATCAGCTTCAAAACCCACAACCATATCAGCTCAAAGAACCTGTAGCTTAATGAACACCTTATAAGATTATGTATGATGTAACTTATTTGCGGATAAGTAACTACAGGACTGGATACATGTGTAAGGTAAAACTTAGCCAGTACAGTTCATTCATTGGGTGGGAGGTTGAAAACCATTCCTGAGTATCAAAGAGACAAAATATGTCAAAAGAAGCTGCAAAAGAACAAAATTAATAAATTTTCAGGATTCATTTTAATGAATTTCATTAAGCTATAATTAATTTAACATTAATTTCTAGAAATAAATAAAAAATAAATACATATTTCCCCCACTCCAGTGCCATAAACAGGTGTTAATTAGGCCCAACAGGATAATGTGAATTTGTTATAGTCTTCTGTGAAAACAAAAGTTAAGATTTAATATAAGAAAAGATTTTTTTTTTATGATTTTTCATTGGTTAGCACATTTCTGTTTGCCTTTGGCTAATAAAAGTTAGACTTTGGCTAACACTTTTTCCCAGAATTTTCCATACTTTGTGTTGCTGTTACTTTTTTGTCTGTATTAAGCTGGAGAAAAACAGACTAAAATGTAACTTAAATTTCCTGTAAATGTAATTTAACATCCATTTTAGCACCCAAATGTTTCCCATGATGTCTTAATTGCTGAAACTTGTTTATTTCCAATTGGGACACCCTCAACATTGTTTCCAAGGTCTCTGACTTCTATTTATTATTTATATTATGTTTAGTTGTGATTTCTGTTTAGAGGGTGCCTTGATGCTTGCCTGTGTATAAAATGTATCTGTGTTGCCTTTTACTGGGAGGAGGTTTTCACCGCAGACTCCCAAAGCAGTCATTGCATCCCTAGCATCACTCAACAGCCCATGAGATTGGCTGACAAAAATAGTAACATTCCTAACCTTTAAGTATTTGGGCTTCTTCAAGCAAGCCCAGAGACTTGAAAGCAGCATTATGCACACAATTTATGACTATGCAGTCATAATTCATTGCATCTAATGTGCAGAATAAATGGCTAACATGCCAGTTGGTGCGATATGCTGAGCAGTCAGTGAGCAGGCAGCCAAAGACACTCTACTGGCCAGGCAGTTGGCAAAATGGGCAGGAAAGTGCCAGCCCTTGGGTTGTTCCTTGCAGTGGGCTGAGCTTTGCTGATTTGCCACCTTCATCTTCTGGTTTTACATCTTCCCACATCACGATTTTCCTTTTGAGTCTAGAATGATTTTCTGCTTTCTGCTTTAAATTAGTTCTTTCACCAATCACAGTTCCATACTTCTGTGGGCTTTTTATTTCTACTTTTCTACCCTTCATGAGCCAATGGCCCATGTTACCTGTTTCTGAAAAGCTGACAGTGATTACTACAGCTCAGCCCTTTGTAAAACTGGGGCAAGGGCACATGTGGGTCTTCTTTGCTTATTCTCAGCACTCAGAAGTGCATTGTCCAGCATCATCTGGAAACAGAGAGCAAGAGTCGTGGGAAAGCTGGTATTACTCTAGTAATAAAGCTGGTATTACTCTGCATGAAGAAGAGGTTTATAAGGGGTATGGCAAAAAAGGGAGACTACCTAAGCACCAGCTAACCTGCAGCTGGAAAATGTGGCTGCACCTTCAGCTAGATTTGGAAGGGAGCTGTGGGGTGAGATGGTCCTCACCAGCCCCACACAGGCATGCCTCGACTTGCAGCATGCTCAGTATCAGGCCCAAGGATGGTGGAGAAATGGTGCCAGGGAGGGCAATGAAAGCCCAGGGTTTGCCTTCCCCCTCCCTACCTCTGCTGTCCCCACTTCGTCCAGCTCTGTTTCCAGCACGCCTCTTTTGAGCAGCTCTTTCCTTCCTCTTTCCCATGGGTTTGGCATGATCCTGTCCCTTCCTTTCTTCCCCCTGATTTCCTTTTGTTTTTCCACCCCAATTTCACTTCCTAACCCTGTTTTCCTGCCATGACACGACAATCATTCTCCCTTGAGTCATCCTTACTTCCCCCCAACGTCCCCCAGCACTCTGACGTCTATCCCCCTTCCTCCCCCCCAGCTCTGACGGACACGGTCCTCTCACCCCACTCAACCCTCCTCCTTTATAAAGGGATTTTCTTCTTTTTAATCCGCGATCCCCCCGTCGCAGCATCAGCTCCCGGTGCACCGTGACGGGAAGAGGGAAGAGAAGATCCTGCCTTTGCGCCTCCCCACCCTCCTCCCCTCACCATAACCCCGGGCGGGGGCAAAGCCCCCGCGGCTCAGCCCCGACACCGCCCCGCGGGATGGGCGGCCGTGCCCCGCAGGCTGCGGGGCAGCGCGGCGGCGGAGCGCAGGTGCGGCGGGCGGCATTCCCCGACGGCGCGGGCGGCGGGCAGCGGAGGGGCGGGGGTGCGCGGGAGCGGAGGGACGCGCGGCGGCTCCGCGGAGCGGGGCGTGCGGAGCCCCCCGGTAGGTCGGGTTGGCTCCGTCCGCGCAGGGCTCCCGTGGAGCCGTCGGGAGCGCGGATGGGTTGTCCCGGCGCGGCTGTGTGACAGCGATCGCGGAGCGGCGCGGCGAGAGCTGGTGGGGCTCCGGGAAAGGCGTGGTAGGGGGTTGCTTGTGTCTCCTGGGCTTTCTCCCCCGCTGTAAACCGTATACCTCAGGATTTCTGCCGTTCGACAGCTTTTGAGCTTTCCATTTACTTCTCAAATTGCGAACGACAATTGGTACTTTCAATGATGGACAGTCAAATGTTGCAAAAAAGAGCAGGTTTTTAAATACGGGAGACGATAGAAGGGGAGGGGATTAAGGATTCCCACAGAAAGACTCAAAGATGTGCTTTGCTGCTGTAGTTATTGCTTATCTATAGTTCTTAAATAACTTAAACCAGTTTTGTGGCTTGCCTGCTAACTAGAGAATTTTCTAACAGCCCACATGGCCAAGCTCTTCTGTTGCATGTACCAAAGTATTTCTTTCCTGAAGAATTTGCAGACACTGGGGAGTTGATGACGATGCTAAAAAATTCAGTGCTCAAAAACTTATTTCCAAGAATCATGTAGCTTTCAGCCACATCATTTCCCTTTGTAATCACAGGTTACAGTTGTTGCTTGTTGCTCCACAGTCATTTTCAATGGCATGTAAACTCAGCATGAATTGCATCTGAAATAGTCATTTCATAAAATCACCAGAATAGTCTCTAGTAACCTTTTGACTTTGTACACTGATTCAAAAAAGCATCTTACCAGGTTTGTTAAAAGCAGACCTATTATTGCATTCTCTCCAGAGGTCTTAATGAAATAGCAATCAAAGAAACGGACAGGACTTCAACATGGCTTTCCATGCAGAGGGGCTGGTGGCCATAATTGTATTCTACCTGGCTATACTGGCGGTTGGGATATGGGCTGCTTGGAAAACCAAGAACACTGGCAGCGAAGGAGATCGCAGCGAAGCTATTATAGTCGGTGGAAGAGACATTGGCTTGCTAGTTGGTGGATTTACAATGACTGGTATGTAAAAGCCACATTTATTATTTTTTTTCCTAACCAGCATATAACTTGTCAGTTTTCCATCTGACTGAAGAAGTGTAATCTGCATGTTGAACAATGCAAAATGTAAAAAATACATGTACTTTATTTTCCAATTGCAATTAACATTGTTTAGTGAACAGCCCAGTGTAGCATCTATGTAAAAACAACAAGTACTTTAGAATCAGAAAGGAAGAATATATTAAAATTCTTACTGATTGTTTCTATATCCATCTGTAGATAAATATGTTTGGGACAAAAGTAGAGAATTTATATAGATGATAAGAAATTCAGTTTTAAAAGAACTGTTATTGTTAAAGCTGTCCAAAATGGTGAGTTATTTTTTTTTAATCTGAGTAAAACAAAGTTTACACGCAAAAAGATGGGGGGAATGTCCAGCATCACTTAAGTTTCTAAAAGAAAACTGGATTAAATCCAAACTTATAATTCCACTGATTTCATCAAACTTACATTGTGGATTCTCTTAACTTGTTTTTCAGCAGGTTGACAAAATCATATGTTATTGGCAATAGTAGTATCAGTAAGAAAAGCCAGGGTGAAGGAAGAAGTCCTCACTAATCTTGTAAGCAGTGCTGTTTGGCTCCCAGACCCAGTAGAACCAGGTGTCTGGTTTATCCAGAACCTGGGTAAATGAGATATTCATAATATGATGCAAAATCTCAAATCTAACAGCTAACATATGGGGGGGGGAATGCACTGTAAAAAGAATGAATTGGCCCACCATTTTTATTTAGGCTATTTCCCCCCGTTTTTTTTAATTAATTTATTTTAAGTCCTCTTCAGGCAAAGTCTTTTCAGTTGCCACATTGGATTTATCAGGTTATATTTATGTTTTGATGTTTTGTCGTGTTCTGGTTTCACAATTATCTAATCAGAAAGAGACACATAAAAACTTGGTCCAGAATTCTGCGTTCTTTCATCAAGAGAATTTCCTGTCCCCTTCAGGAGCAGTTTGCTCATTCGTAGACAGAATATTTGAATGTGAAATAGAGAATGTTTATAAAAGTCAGTGAAGTTTGGATACAGACAGACATTCTACTTTTCGCACTTTGCTTTAATTTACTGTATCACATATCCACTGGCTATTGAAACAGTAAATATGATAGGAAGAGCTGGTTTGATTGCTTTCTGCTGAATGAAATGTTTCAAGAGCATTGTAACCTGAATATTTTTCAGAGAAATTGCTTGCCACAGAATTGTAATCATTAGATCAGGGAGTGGAGACAGAACAAGGCATGCCCCGCTCAAATGGTTGTGACTAACAACTTTGTTTGTGGAAGAAGACACAAATTCTGGTCTCCTTAATCCTATTTTACAGGAATATTTTTCGTAATAGCTGAAGCAGAGATGAGACTTGAAATGGGGCTTCCTATATTGCAAGCAATTTCTGTAGCCACCACAATCCACACCCACATACGCTCATTCCATTTCATGCAAGCTGTAGAGACGGTGTAGTAGATCATCCCTGTGGTGGAATATCAGGCTGATATTTGGGCAGCTGAAACACTCATGGGTTTTATACTGTCAGGGTTTGCACACTTTCTTGCCTACTCCTTCCTTAAATTGGGCAAATAAAGCTTGGTATGGCAAGTAAATTCGGTTTCAGGAAACCATGCCTGGCATGCTAAGTCATATGTGGGCACCAGGCTACTGATTCAGGGGTTAGTCCAAGTTTTGTCTCAGAGAGGGGGGTTGGGGCACTCAGTTTGTAAAGTTGTAACAAAACAATTATGAAAGGAAGTTGATCAAAATCTGCAGTAATTCATACTAAATGGTGGCATTATTCAAGGGCACATTTGCTTCTTATAAATGACAGATGCCAATTTTGCATCTCATAGCCCTGGCTTCAGAGACGTATGGCTAGTCCGACATCATCTTTATATTTTTCAGTTTTAATAGTGCAAACACAAATTAAAAAGCAAAGCCTTTTCCGTAAAAGAAAACATAAGATTCTTCAAGATCTCCAGAAAGGATATTGTTCATATAGACATGAAGTATTTTTGGTTATGAGATAAGGCCTAATTCTGTTGTTCTTGACTGAGACAAATACTACCATGTTCCATGGGTACTGGCTACAAAAATGGGGTTAGTTTCTAAGGCTACTGGTGGGGAGGATAACAGAAATCAGTCTATGCATTTAAATTAAAATTGAGAACTTAAGCATCATGGCTTCACAGGGGTGGACTCAAGATGACAGACGAATTGTAATTGACTTTCTAAATGGCATTGAAAAACCTTAAAGCAAATACACTGCCTATGAATAATGGCTATGGACATATTTGGATATATATAATTATCCTGAAGAAGCTGTTGTATCAACTAGTGACTGCAATGCCTAACATAACGCCTGTTGAAAGCTGCATGTGTCTGCAATTATCAAAACAGATAGAATGAGAAGATTTAATCGGGGATGGATCACAGCAGCTCATATTAAAATGAGCTAACATAGTACCATAGTAGACACGCCTTTAATCTCTGTATCATTCTTATATAAATATACTTAAAATGTTTCATTAAACATTAGCATTCCATAATTTGTGGGTGAAATTCTTTAGAAGTGGTATCTGAGACAAACATGAATCTCTTCTTATTTCAGTGACTGAGTTTAAACTCCAAAGGAAATATTTGAGGTGACATAATCAAATGCTTACAAACATGATCAAAAAAGTAACAATCTATTGATGTAATTTTTTTCATTTTAGTTGGATGGAGCTGTGTATCCTTCCACAAGGAAAAAAAAAGATATTACAAAATTATCTTTTTTGTAATCCTGAGGTCAGGTTTTTCATTTTACAGATCTTGATAAGTTGATTCAGTGATTTACTGGTCATAAAAAGGGATCATTCACAAAGAAGTGACAAAAAAAATCTGATTTTCTAATATATACCTATAAATAAAGAACTCTCAAATTAATTTCTGTATTCTTCATAAGAACTAGGAGCAGAATTGCACTCCGTATCTTCAGTGTGTGTCTGATCATTTTTTAGGGCACATGTTTTAAATGGATGTTGGTGTTTCCTGTATGTTTTGGTCCTTCAGATAGCAGGCAAAGAGAAGATTAAAGCAGATTACCACATCAATGTTTCTATAGATTATTAAATTTTATGTTCCTTTTGTCTGATTTAGACCAAACTAAAAAAAAAAAAAAAAAAGAATTTTACTCAAAAAGGTATTAAACAAACTTTAAATTGTGGCTTAGCAAACTGAGGATCAACAAATTAATTTCTAAGGCTGAAATCCCATCCTATCATATCCCATTATTTCTTTTGTAATGTATTTACTGATGCCAATGTACATGCTGACTACTCATTCATCCCCTCAGAAAAAGCCGTATAGCACCTTCCAAGAGCCCTGGGGTCCTTGGCAGACGTTCCAGAGCAGACATGTCTACTGAAATATTGATTGGCAGCAATTTTTCAAACCACAATCAAGAAATCAAGAAATAAATTTGAAAATAAGTGCTAAATAATCCATTCTATGTTACCCAGCAACAAATGTCCATAGGGCATTGCTCCTGTTCCTAGCCAGGGGAGGGCAATGTCCCCTAGGCAACATCACACAGAAGGGAAGTGACTTTGTCCCCTCTAGAAGAAAATAAAGGAGGTAAGCATAATGTCCAAGAGCCCCTTGGAGAACATCCACCACCTCAGTAGTAACCCTAGGCAAACTGATGACAGACCTTGAAGCCTTCTTCACCACAGCTGCAGCAATGCTGGACATCTGTCCTTGACTACGGGACATTATTCTCCATCTGGAAGTGGGTATTGTTCAGTAGTCATGCTCATGCTTTTTCCAGGGAAAGAGACAAATACAATTCCCTAAGTATTTATCTTTGTTATTGCATACAGGTCTTTACAACCTATTCCATAAGTTTATGCTGCTTCAGACACAATAGGGAACACACATCCCAGGTAGGCATAGGCTCAGTGGTCAATGGCTCAATGTCCAGGTAGAGATCAGTGATGAGTAGTGTCCCTCCGGGGACCTTACTGGGACCAGTATTATTTACCATCTTTGTCAGGGGCATGGATGCTGGGATTGGTGCACCCCCGGCAAGTTTTCACATGACACTGAGATGAGGGGTGAGGCTGATACTCTAGAGGGAAGGGATGCTATTCAGCAGAACCTTAACAGACTAGCGAGGTGGGCCTGAGTGAACCTCATGAAATTCAACAAGATGAAGTGTAAGGTCTTGCACCTGGGCCAGGGCAATCGCAAACATGGACACAAGGGTGGGTAACAAGTGGGTGATTCTCTCAGTAGGTCTGTCTTCTTTCTCTGTATGATTAAGTTGTATGCTTAAGTTTTTTGAATTAGGGCTATCTTTTATATAAGAATGCCATGTTTGGTGCTTGTACAGTACATATGATAAAATTAGCAATATTACAAATGATGAGAATTTCATTCTACAACATGGGATTATTTCTTGCTTTGTGCACCTTAAAGAGTTTTCCACCTCTTCTTTTTCAGCCACATGGGTTGGAGGAGGCTATATCAACGGGACAGCAGAAGCCGTGTATGTCCCAGGCTATGGTCTAGCTTGGGCTCAGGCACCTATTGGATATTCCCTTAGTCTGATTTTAGGTAAGCAAAGAACTAAAGCTAATCATCTCTCATTTTAAACAGTTCTGATCACAAGTCCATCCTTTAAATTGAACCAACTAGGATCTAATAAAGGTAGACTAAGATGAACTGGATCTCTTCTGCTGATAGGTTTGGCTATTAAAAAGAAAAAGAGAAAATCACTATAAATTCCCCTGAATGCCTTGGGAAGATCTACCTGATTATTACAACCACAGTGATCTATGGAGGACACAATCCTGCTATATGCAGGGTGAGAGTGTAAAACAGGCAGCATTATAATTTTTTAATACTGTGGCCTGTAATTCCTGAAACGTAGTCTCAGAAATAATAACAATTCAAAAATTCTTACTGTATCTCAAATGTGGAGCAGCTTGCAATGAAAGTATTGCCTTGTAGCCATGATGAATACACTACAAAATTGTCAACTACATCTCTCTGTATTTGAACAGATCATGTCCCCAAGGCAACTGCTGATTAAACTGTTTAAAGAGAATGCTGTTACAAAAAAGATCCTGTGTTTTACATCTTTCATTAATATGACTGATGTATTAGCCTTCTTAATAACACTTGACCTCTCAGACTATTTTGAGTCTTTTCTCATGTCCCTCCCACCTACTCTGTCCCTTCATTTCCCTTGGTTGCTTATCAGGTCTTCTTGCCCCTTCTATTTCTTCCCATACAACTCAGATTCCCTCCTGACTCTTTTTTCCCCTTGAAAATGCTTTCCTATGGCATGTCCTAGTTGAAGGCAGAAACCTCCTTCATCATAGATGTTCCTCTCTGGCATGTGCCAGAGAGTTTCCTGTAAGGAAAACAATAGCAGTAGATGTCTGCCTGGAGAGCAGCTGATGTCATTATAAGGTCACGAGGGACAGAATCTGTCAATTTCATTAAGTGGTTGTTAGGGTCGTAGTCACAAGTATCTTCCTGACTCTTAGCCTTTGTAAAATTGACACAAATTAATAATAGCCCATCAGGGGTTGAGTTAGCCCCTTCCCCTCATTTCCAGATGCTTTTAGATGTACAGCCTTTTTTCCTGGAAAGCTGTAATGCCCTCTGCAGAGAAGTCTGCATCATATATCACTTTATAGAGCACAGAGAGGAAAGCATTTCTACAGGAGTGATCTGTATCTGCAGGTTTGAGGGGAGGAGTTGTTTATCCTTCTTTGAAAAAAAATAAATCAAAATTATAAATTCAAGGCTTCAGACTTAAGGATTTAAGATTGATATAATCTCCCTGTTAGTTTAACGTTGTGCTGCATACCGTTTTCTCCAGTTTTTCAAGCACTTTAGTTTTAAAGGTTAGAATATCTCATATTTACTTTGACAGATGCTTGGACATCCTAATAGATCGTAATAGCACTAACTCTTTTTTGTTCTTTTAGTTGTCTTTTGTAATGATGACATAACAAGTGGAATAGGAACAGGATCCATGACCAATCCAAGAACAGTAAAAAAATGCCCAAGGGTTTTTGCATCCAAACAATCTGCCTAAAGACATATTTAATATAAGCAGTATAAATAGAATGTGATTGGTAAACCGACACCTTCCATTCAGGGAACTTAATGAAATTAAGAAATATGAGTAAGGCAATACATAGAAACATGGAAAATATTCTGTACAATACGACAAATACATTACATATCTTGTGATGAAGAACCTAAGTAAGCGTCACCAGATACTGTACAGTAGATTTTATTTAGATCTGCCTGTTCTTCCAATGTTTTTTTACTGTACCTTATACATTCCATTTCAGCAGTTTTATTGTGATAGAAGTCTACAGAAGTAGTTATTCTCATGTGCAGATCTCAACTACACAGGTTTTCGTACAAGGGCTCTTTCAGCTACCCTGAGCTATGTCCTTTTTTTTAACCAGAAAGAAAAAAATTGAGGACTGAGGACTGTACATTAGAAAGGTGAGGCCTTTGCACGTTTATGCACATATCCAACCCATATACTAGCCAGGCAGAGCAGAATTATGATATACCAAAATTCCTGAACACGTCTAAGTTAAATAAGTGTATGACAAATGTTGAGGGAGCCCAACACCTGCAGAGCCTACAAGGCATCTGACCTACACTGCAGGTGTAGTAAGGTTGATTTAAGCACACATAATAAATCTGAATTGTCCTGAAAGAATCAGATTTGTTGTGTGTGCACTAAACACGTGTGTGGACTCATATTTCTGATCTGGGAATCCCAGACAGTTTCATTTTTTGAGTAGGACCATGTGAAAATTCATGCTGAATTCTGTTCTAGGCAGAAAAGCCATTCCCTTAGGCAGTTCCAAAATTAGACAAATATCTGGCAGTATCCATCGTGACAGATTAAGTAAACTGAACTAGACAAATTAAGACAAACATATTTTTCATTATCAGAACATAGATATTAATGGTGTAGGTGTGTTTATGTAACCCTATAGACAGATGTAAGGTAAGAGAGTAAGAGTTCTTAGACGGTATTTTAACTGTATTTATTTCTTAAAGAAAAAAGGAAACAAAATGGTAATGCAGATATTTTTGTACCCTTAATTGACAATCCATGTTTTATCCCTTACAATTAATGCACTTCTCCACTGCAGCTGGTGTCATATGCTACTTTTCTTTGTAGGTGGCCTTTTTTTTGCAAAACCTATGCGATCCAAAGGCTATGTGACAATGCTAGACCCCTTTCAGCAGCTTTATGGAAAAAGGATGGGAGGGCTACTGTTTATTCCAGCTTTAATGGGAGAAATGTTTTGGGCTGCTGCCATCTTCTCTGCCTTAGGTAAGGAATAAGCAGTACAAATATTAATTTATCACAGGTGGAAAGATTAAGAAAATCAGAAATGCATTAAAATCCTGGCTTCAAATGTCACCTATCCTAGCCAAATGATTCAGAGTGGGACAGTTCCCAGTCCTGTGCCACCTAGTAACTAAACCTGGTAATAGTACCCCGTTAATTATTTTGGAAATGGAAAGACACACAAGGTATCTATTCATTTTCAAATATCTTTAAGTTGTTCCTTATCAGAAAGCATGAAAAGCTTTATCAACAAATTTCCCTTAATCGTGAGGATGATATGAACGTGAGTGTCTGAAGTGTCCCTTTTGTGTCAAGGCTGACCCAGCTTCTCTTTTACATCACTGGGACCACAGAAGCCAGTCAAGATTTCCCTTAAGGATATGAAACATTACTGCCAGTGCATCTAAACAAAACAATCCTTTGCATATGTGAGACGTGCATATATGGAACTTTCCACAGCACAAATAACAGAAGTAAAACAGACTGTGATCAATAAATTGAGGTACGATTCAATTCTAAATGGCTTTCTACTTGACAAAATGAAGGAAATACTTGGGATTCAAGAAAGAATTCAGAGATTTATTTGAACTATGACTCAATAGAAAATCACCCAACTACTCATCCAGTCCTGACAAAAAAAAAATCACTTTCCAGGGTGTTTAATTATATTTCAGGACTGAATTTAGCAATCCCTTCAAGACCTGAGAAAGCCCTTGAGTTGAAGCACCAGTAATTGACTTTTACCAGCTAATCATTCTTATAGTGTGCATGCATGTGGTAATGTTTTCTAGCACAAGCTATTTTAAACAGAAAATAAACTTTGAAGGTACTCTCCAACTGTGCCCTGATGAACTGCAAAGCAATGGGGAGCTTGTTTACCACAATTTTGTCACAAAACCCTTAAAGGACTAAGAACAAGCTACATGCTGAGGTGATAGGAGTTGAATAACTTGAAGAACACTCTGAGTATTTGGAATATACTTTCTTTTTGATTGAGGACAAGCTAATCTGTGATATTTCAAAGCAAATTATGTGAATACCTTTCTAGTAGGTTTATATTAACAACTTACAGTTAAAGACTGTCAATGATTATAAAGGTCATTGAAGGTTTTGACTTTTAACTACTCCATGAATAATCTAGTTCTATTACACCTCCTAATTTGCACACCTATCCTTACTGATGAATATTTAATCCCAAAAAAAACAAACCTGGCAGCTCTCAGCAGCTGTTATATATGACACATTGTGTTGTGTTCTACTACCAGAACTCTTCCACCTATGTGGCCAAGAATGTTCATCTACAATACCTGCAAGGACTGAAAGTTGTTGCAAAATGTTTATTTGAAATCATCCTAATTATAAGGAGAGGATTTTTTTGAACACGTTTTTTAAACACTGCAATCCATTGAGATAGCTAATTCACCTAAGGGAAATGTATGACCATTCTGCTAGCTGCTGGAAGGGCAGTGCCGGAGGGCACAAGCACAGTTTCTTGAGTGCACTGACAACAAATTCATGACACAAATGATCAGGGAGCTAATCAAGGGAGGTGCTCTGTTGAACCTGTTACAAACACGGAAGAACTAGTTAGGGATGTAAAGGTCAAAGACAGACTTGGCTACAATGTTCATTAGATGGTGAAGTACAGGGTTATGAAAAGAAGGAACAAGGCAAAAATGAGGACCACAATAGTGGACTTCAGGATAGTAGGTCACAGCCTCTCCAAGAGTCTGCTTGGACTAATCCCATGGGTGACAGCCCTGGAAAGAAGAGGAACACAGGAAAGCTGGTTGATATTCAGGGATCACCTTTTCCAAACTCAAAGCCTTATCTCAGTCTCTGGGAAGGTGATGGAGAAAATACTACTTTCCAAGCAAAAGATGGTCAAGGGGACTTGGAGGAATAAGCATGGATTCATTCTGACCAACCTGAAATCTCCCATGATGAGCTGACTAGCTCGCTTCATTAAGGGAGAGCAGGCTATGTTGTGGATTTCAAAAGGGGTTTTTTACATCATCTTCTGTGGTATCCTCATAGACAAACAGATGAAGCACAAATTAGATAACTGGACAGTGAGGAAGACTGAAAACTGCTGACCTTTTGGGCTCGGAGGGCTGTGACCAGCAGCATGGGTGCCACCGGGTGGCCAGTCACCAGTTGTGCACCCCAGAGGTCATTGCTGAGTCCTGTGTTGTGTAATGTCTTCATTAATGGCCTGGCTGAGGAAACCAAGTGACCTTCAGCTAGTGTGCAGAAAACAAAAACTGTGAGGAGCTGCTGATAGACCAGGTGGTTGTACTACCATTCAGAAGGACCTCAGCAAGCTGCAGAAATGGGCCCTCAGGAACCTCATGAAGTTCAGCAAAGGGAAATGCCAAGTCCTGCACGGGGGGAGATAAAACATGATGTCCCAGCAAAAGCTGGGGGCTGATCAGCTGGAAAGCAGGTTTGCAGAAAAGGACCCGGGAGTCTTAGAAAGCAATAAAGTTGACCATGTTCCAGCTATGTGCCCTCAGGACTGCTGAGACACATTTGGTGCGCTGTATCCAGTGCTCAATACACGTGATGTGGACGTACTGGAGAGACTCCAGTGAATGGCCGCTATAGCTGATGCCTCCTCTATCATTTCTTCCTTTGCCAAAAGGGGGCCAGCTCGGAGCATCAGTGAGGTACAAAAGGGTGCGATATGTTGCAGCAGACCTTCCATAGGCACAGCTTTTACTGCAGTGATACACTTGTACCCATGTGGCTGTAACTCACTCAGAGTTTAGCTGTCTGTACATGGCTGCTTTTTCCCTGGTAGAACAAGTGTAGTCCTTACAGAGCTTGAACAATGTAAAGGAAGGCTGTTGGGACCTTTCTGTCTTCTATTTCATGAGAACCTGCAAAATGACAGATGCTAAACTTAGACCAACGCTTTTCTCACTCCCTTTAAAGGTACTTAAGGGCTGTGCAGAAGATAAAGGGGGGGGCTATCTTCATGTTGTTGCAGTGTCAGACCAGCATCTTTATATGCTACTTAACAAAACTGAGCCTTCTCATCAGACATACTGAGATATGCACTAACACATAGGGCTTTGTTTTTCCCCACAGGTGCCACTATAAGTGTGATTATTGACGTTAACATCAATATTTCAGTCATTATTTCTGCTCTGATTGCAACTATGTACACGCTTGTGGGAGGGCTTTATTCTGTGGCCTATACTGATGTAGTTCAGCTCTTCTGCATCTTCCTGGGACTGGTAAGTTTGTCTTTTGCTTTTCCTTCTTTCTTCCGGATTATGATGATTGCCAAGACATATTGACAGCTTTTGGAATTGTGTCTTCACTGAAAGCATGGAGAAGGAATGTCTCCACTCACAGAGCGCTGACTTTAAAGAGTCTTCATTTCTTCATTTACACCACAGTACAGCCCATGCTTTAACAATAATGCTGACCAAGAGGCCTGATTCTATCAACTAGTCTGATAGAGCAAACACTCCTGCAGTTTTCCTGCTGAGTATGTATTTAACTCAAGAATAGGACTGGAGCTGTCTTCTTCCTTACCTGTCCGTCGGACTGTGGCACAGGCAGTGGAAAGAGGCATCAGAGGTATGAAGCAGCCAGTAAAGCAATGCAGAAACACTGGCATTGGACCTGCATAGCTGATGCTCTCCAACTTCTCTCTCCTGTAGCTGTCACCTACTGACACAACTTATTTAGCCACCTGCTTCAAATCACCTTCTTGTTTTTTCCCTCCTTTCCCTCCACCATGCTTGGAGACCACAGTATAGGAAGTCTCACCATATTGCTTGCTGTTTGAATTTGGTGGTATAAATACCCTCTCATCAGCTATCACTGATATACCAGTTGGTAGCCATTGATTTTATTTACTGCTGTTCTCCAAGCCCTACTCTAAAAAATATCAATGCAACAGGGCTCAGATCACAGGGGTGCAATCAAAGCAGCTGCTGACTTTGTTTGCTAGTGGAAGTAATAGATGGTCACAGGTGTGCAGAGAACTGAGACAGGCTGAAATAAATGGGGTGGGTCAAGATGAAGAAACTGAATGGCACCTTGGGGACCCAGAGTTCTTACTCTGCTTTCACCAGATTTCTTGTGCAGCTCTAGAGAAATTGCTTTCACCAGTACTCACACAGGTGGTCACTAACCTACCCTGTGTGAATCCTCACTCTGTGGCATCCTACTGTGAGGCCTTTGGCATTATTTGCAGAAGTGCTAAGCATTCCCCATTTAAATGACTGCATGGGAATTGTGCTAAATACCCTGAAAAAGTAAATCTAGGTTCCAGCTGGCTGCCTCAAGTGAGAGATTTTTCCAAATCTTCTTCTCTTATACATTTGTCCTTCATCTGCACGATGGGGAAGATACTGTCTCCTTCCTTAACATGCATGTTGATGTTTGTGAAACATTCAGTTTTTACAGATGGCATGTATTACAGAAATTCCCAAATTTGAGGATAAATTAAAATACAAAAATGCTTTTCCAATGAAAACAACTCATGTGCTGCTGAAAGCTCTGATCCCATGGAAATAGCAACATGCGGTCCTGTATTAAGGGAAGCATGAACCTGACAGGGAGGGGAAGGCAAATGAAGGTTGCACAGCAGTTTTATAAATACACCCATAGCTTTAATTGTGTCATTTTAATTTAGGTTGGGCTCTTCATGTAATTTTTCATTTGAAGTAAATAGCAATAATGCCATATAGAAGAAACCATATTCAAGATTCATCAGTGGAGCTGGAAGCCTCAGCATCTAAATGGTAGTGCTCTGAGTCAGGCAGTTTTAAGTGAGACGGGACTCTGCCAAAGCACAAGATGTCACAGGCCCAGTTAATCACAGCTTCCCCTCCAGGCTCTGGAGCAGTTTATAGTCTCACTGTCACAGAACTGTACTGCTTATCCCTGTCATGTCTGTTCCTCTCCTGCTCCTTACCAAAGAGGAGATGCTTATTGTAGTCACTTCTGTTCCCTACCCTGGCTCCTTATTTCAGCTACAGCTTCCTCCTTAGGCTTCCATATCTTCTATCCCAAGCACTTCACATACTTCCCTGGTTTTCTCCTTATAATCCCATGTAGTCTCTTTCCTTCCCTCCTCACTCTCCAGTTCTCACACCTGCAATTCCCAGCTCTTCATCTTGTCCAGTAAGTCTTTCCCTGATCCTGCACTGTATCCCTGCTATTTACTGACTCTTCATCTCAGCTGTATTATTAATTATCCCTTCTTAATTTTCTGCCACCATGAGAAGTAATTTTTTTCTGGTTTCCAACCCCATGAAGTCCAGGTCCATCTAGCTACCTGCTACTTCCACCCCTAAGCTTCAAGTCCCAACATGAAGTCCCAATTTCTGCTTCACTTCCACAAGCCTTGGTTTTATTTGCCCTCCATTCAAAACATCAAATTTTCTATTTCAGTTAGAAAAGGCTCTGTGAAGAGATTTGGTCTATGTCTATGTTAAGCAAGTTAAACAGTGCCAGGGTGAAAACACAGGATCATTACTAGTGCTTAATTTTTAACATAGTCGTGGCCCTGTCTTGGCACACTCCAACTAGTATTTTCTCAGGTAATTCCAAGGAACAGTTGAGCACTGTGCTATTTGGCAGTGAAAGGAGTCTAGATGTATGGGTGTAAACCATGACATGCCAGTGAACTGCAGGGCCAGACAAAGTGTCTTGACTTGTTTTATTTACTAATGTAGAGGTAGTCCTTGAGACCACAAAGAGCTAGGTTTCTGTCAGGAGCTGGAATGGTATGCTGTCCTGGGTTCAGCAGTAGCAATCATTTTTCTCCTTCTGAAGGTGCAGCGCTGTGTTTTTGACTTTCAGCCTGGGAACAGTGCTGCAAAACCCTTACAAAACACACACATCACTTACAAAAGCTCATAATGCATTTGCAATACAATACCTACTAAATCCTGGACTGTGGCAGGATGGCTACAGATGGACCTTTACAAGTTTACCGTACTGAACATCTCAGGTGAGTATAGGCAAACTAGAGCTCTTCAGAAGCTTATCACTTGGACATGTTTGAGATTTGAGATTCAAAAACAAGAATTAAAAAATACATCGGACATCCTTGTTCCCTATGAATTTCTCAACAATATTATCTTAATTTTGACAATATGCCCATTTTTCCCCTCAAAATATCTTGGAGACAATTGAAACATTTTGGTCATCTTTCCCAGAAAAGCCCAAGCAGACAGTGAGAAGGGAATCTTTCTGCCCAAGGGCTTAAATTGGCAAAGTTTAACATATAACTGAGAACAGAATACTGTGGTATATGATAAATTTAAAAAAACAGCCTCAATTACAGGCAGTGCTGCAAAATATTCTTCATACATTATTGCAATGATTGCAATAAAGTAGAGAAAGATATTTGATTTCTCCCCACTTTGCTTCTGCTACCCCATACACTTAAATGTGGTGAGTTGGATTGTGGTTATCTGTGTGGGTTTGATATCATTGGATTTTTAAGGATTATGCGCTTGTGATTGTCTGTGCCACATAGCAGGAAGCCTGGTTTTCATCTCAGTAGGAGCTGCTGAGGTTCTCCTCATACAAAGTTACACCACCAAAAAATGAATTGGCAAGTAAATGCACAGTCAGTTGGGGAAGGAAACAAACCTGGCAGAAACTGTTTCTGTGAAGGGTTTCTTCACTGATGTTCTGGACTACATCAAAAGCAAAGAGACAAAAAATAATCAAGAGCCCAGACTGAAATTACCCTCAAGTCAGAAAAGTCCTCTAACACTGAGTGTTCTGGAGTAAGAGAGATGGGATTTACCAACAGCACCCCTCTCTTACCACGATATAGTTTTGTGTTGAATTAAAAATTAATTCCCAGCCTTTCAGGTGTGTTTGTGATGTCTCATGTCTGTATACTGGCAAATCCTGATGCTGTTGCATATGGGTTTATACGTGGATGAGAAACAGTGTGGTCCAGTAAAGAGTGTAAAGAATAAATGTGGAGTTTAGGGAAAATAAAATGAAGATGTATAAGTGTGTCTTTTCTGCTGATTTTGTGATTTACATTGTTTAATTCTCTGCTTATATTCACAGTCTTCGGGACAGAGGTAAATTATTCACTACCAAGCTCCCTGGTTTTCGGAGGTGTTCAGGAGACATATAACCTGACTTTCCTGCAAGTCATCTTGGCAATTTGGCATTTGATCTGTATCATGCAAGAAGAACAAAACCAGACCAATGTTTATATTAAAATTTTACAGATTTATAATGCTTCCTTAAGACCTGAAAGAAGTGTTTCTCTTTGGTTACAGTGGATCAGCGTACCCTTTGCAATGTCCCATCCGGCAGTGACAGACATTGGGCTCACGGCTGTGCACCATGTGCATCAAGCACCTTGGCTTGGATCTATCAACTCACTTGACATTTACACATGGCTGGACAATTTCCTTTTATTGGTAAGTAAGGGCTTGTATGAAGGAATGAAGCATTTAAGCACTTACACTGGGTTACTCTGACAGCTGAAAAATAATAGAGTCTAGTTAAGAGTTTCCAGCAAACTGAAAACTTTTACCCTCTTGACTCCTGCTCAATATTTCTGCACATTTGAATGATTTCAGTGAAATACCGGTAGAATATTGTAGCACAGCTGTCAAAGTCAGCATTGCCAAGAATGCAATTTAAATATCATCAGGCTGACAGTTGACTTATACTAAAATTAACTCAAAGTGTGCGGCTAACACTTCACTGATGTCATTGTTGGCAGAGGAATTTATATATTGCAGAAGGCAATAAATACGTTATACAAATGATTAAACATGCCTTAGGTATAGGTGATGTAGAAAAAGTTTGCAGAGATGGACATATGGATGAATTCAAATATGCACACATGCCAGACTGAACTGAGGGCTTTTGTTATTTAATACCTATGTATTACACATAGGATCAGTGGTTATTAAGTACTTTCCATTAGAAGATCTAGCAACACACACATTTTCTGTTCTCACAGTTCTTGAGCAACTCTCCACTATTTTTATTACCATGTTGTACTTCGAGAATCCTTTCTCTGGGTTGGGTTAGGGTGGGTTTTTTTTTAAATACTCTCAACCAAAAATCTTCAGAGTTTTCTGGTAATTGGGCTATTCAAATATTTTTTTTTTCCCCAGCTCAAATATTTCAGAGAGAGATTTTCAGAGAGCCAAAGTATGACATTAGCTCAAGTAGCAGTATTTTGTCTGGTAAACCTGAAGGTTTAGTCTCTGCTGATGACTAAAGGAAAGCTCTGATGTTGCCAAATTGTGACACATTCTCTTTTCATCATGTTTGTTTCATTATAGCTCACGAAATTTACACATGCTTGGAAAGCTTTGTTAAAGGAACATTATTATAGCTGCAAAGGAAAAGAGTCATAAATAGCAAGCAAAATCAGGGTTCTCTGTGAAACATTCATTTGGTCCCTCTGTGTGCATGAAAAATATATGAAACACCTGCATACACACTATTTGGCCTAAATGCCTCCTGTCTCATTTAGTGTGAAGAGCTGTGCTGTGCACATTTAGCGAGCAATTTGCTTTCTTTCCTTTCCATGCTGTTAAGTAATAGGCGCTTATTTACTTAGTGGACAGTATTCAAATCCTACTCTCAACACAGAATTGTTAGCACTTGGTTTTCCAAGCTTTGATAATACTCTCTTGTGTCATATTTTGTAGACATAATTTTAAGTAATCAGGATTTTCACTATTATATACCCAATAAAAGGAGAAGGGTTGCCACCAGAAAAGAAAACTTTCTTTTACTGCTTCATCTTCTTTAATTTCTATTGGTATATTTGCTTAAGACAGTAGGACAGTATTTTTCAGATTCCTGAGTTTAATGTATACAGAATGTGTTTAGATGGCCACACATACTCATAAAGGAAGATAAAATATTGCTTTCAAATCCTATTGGAGGCTAATCTCATTTTCACAGTGGTAGGGTACTGGATGCCAAATTATTCACATATGAATATGACTATTTATTTTATAACCTTTCATAAGGCTCTGTCAAGTACTTATACATCTTAAAATACTTGGGGATCACAGAGCCTGTATAAGTGCAAAGTGTTGTTGCTAACTGTACAAAGGAATAACTTTTCTAAAATAATGGGATTGAAGTGGACTTACAAAGGTTTGACATTACTTGTGAGAATGAAAGTTGTAGCTATTACTGACTGACTGATATTCAGTAACTAAATGAAAGAGTGGCAACATGTCACTCAGCATTCAAGTAATACTGCTACATTTTATGTGGCAATATAAAAAAATTATCCAGATTTAACCCCCAATGATGGGATGCTGCCCGTTCTATTTGCAGACCTTAGGAGGAATCCCATGGCAAGCTTATTTCCAGCGAGTTCTCTCCTCATCTTCTGCCACGTATGCTCAAGTTTTATCATTTCTGGCTGCTTTTGGCTGTATTGTGATGGCTCTTCCTGCAATACTCATTGGTGCAATTGGAGCATCTACAGGTAAATGTTTAAAAATGAACAGTAGAATAAATATAAAAAGAATAGTACAATAAATGTGTGAAAATCCTGCAAAGCTTGTGTTAGATGTAATCTAGCCAGGTGACATCATTAACCAACTCAAGACTTCTTCAACAGGAGTGGAAAATAACATTATAGAACATTTCTCCCAGGGAGAATTGCTCCTACCCCAGTGGTTGAGATTAACTCATTTTGCACACTATGTACTTGGAGATGTAATATTTATATTTATTGTTTGAGTTAGATTCTGGTACTTATACTTTTGTAGATGTGGTGTTTAGGGACGTGGTTTAGTGGGTCTTGGCAATGTTAGGTTAACCTTTGGACTCCATGATCTTAAAGGTCTTTTCCAACCTAAATGACTCTAAATGATTGTATGATTTAGCAGGATTTTCTTATCCTGACCAAAACGTGCTTGTCAAGGTCTTTGTCATAGTGAGGGTGATCCCTAGCAGAGCGACCCTGTAGCTAAACTCTTAGAAATGTTCCACACATGACTTTGAGTTCTGAGTCTGTAATCCAAGAGAGTAGCTTAACACATCACATACAAACATGGTTCCCAGACTTGCTTTATTGAAGAAAACAACATTTATGAGCAACGCAAACATTAAACTTCCTACTGGATAACCACAGGCTGTGGTCAGACTTAGCTTAGAGGTAAGGAAAAATGCTGAGCAGAATGAAATCTGCCTAACAGAAACTAGTGGGACACTGCTTCACTTAAATGTTGTCAGTCTGGCCCTAGTAACAGTTTAGTTATTGAATGTGAATGAAAATGTGGCAGCATGAATATCTCATTACACATGAAGAGATGCTGTAGCTGATGACTACTGATGTGACTAATAACATACCGGTGTCCATATTGCAGCCTGGAATGAGACCGAGTATGGTGTCCCTGACCCCATGACTAAAAAAGAAGCAGATATGATTTTACCAATCGTGCTCCAGTACCTTTGCCCAGTCTATATCTCATTCTTTGGCCTCGGTGCGGTATCTGCTGCTGTGATGTCATCGGCTGACTCTTCAATTTTATCAGCAAGTTCCATGTTTGCTCGGAATATTTACCAGCTTTCCTTTCGGCAAAATGTGAGATTATATTTTCATTTTTACTGTTAGAGAAAATTTTAAGTGAGACCTTAACAAATTTCATAATAAAACACTCCTTTCACATTCCTGCCTATGACTAGAAAAAAGTATAACATTTCATTCCTAACAGTATATTGAATATACTAAAAGTTATAAAAATATCTATGGTTGTAAGTGATGACAGGGGTGAAAAAGCTAGCTAGGGGTGAAGGCAGCTCTCAGGAATTCTCATGGCACTGCAGTTTATCCAAACAACTTCTAATTATTGCTGCAACCATAAGTTTTTCTTAAATCCATATAATATGAGACACCTTTCTGAATTATTGTGTTATCAGGAAATCATCTGACAACAGAATGGGCTAGTGAGTTGGACTTTTTCTTGGGAAATAGAGAAGAAATTCTGATGACGATTTTATAGATGAGCCATATTGTGCTTATATTTATTTTTAGCAATATGCTGTTGGGTTTTTTCTTTGACACATTATCAAACATTTCCTTATGCTCAAAGATTAATACTCAAAGATTAATGACTTTGATAATAGCAATCATAACCCTTGTGGTTTTTTTTATTTTGCACTTGAGATGGAGGCAGTGTGATAGTGATAGAGACAGAGATTCATTTGTAAATATTTTTGAATGTCATGCAAAATTTCCTTTCACAATGCATTATCTACATTGACTGTGTGTACAAATGTAGGTATACATACATTGCCCTGAAAAAACAACTAACACTGCCCTTTTTTTGCAGGCTTCAGACAGGGAACTAGTGTGGGTCATGAGAATCACTGTTTTTCTTTTTGGAGCATCAGCAACAGCAATGGCACTGCTAGCTTCATCTGTGTATGGCCTGTGGTACCTCAGCTCTGACCTTGTCTATATCATCATATTCCCCCAGCTCCTGTGTGTGTTGTTTATTAAAGGAACCAATACCTATGGTGCCATTGCAGGATACTTATTCGGCCTTGTTCTCAGAATAACTGGAGGGGAACCATACCTCTACCTTCAGCCCTTGATCTACTACCCTGGCTGCTATCCAGATGAAAATAATATCTATATTCAGCGATTCCCATTCAAAACGCTTGCTATGCTTACCTCCTTCTTTACTAACATTATAGTGTCCTATTTAGCCAAATACTTATTTGAGAGTGGGACTTTGCCACCAAAGCTGGACTTCCTTGATGCTGTTGTTGCCAGGTACAGTAGAGAACACATGGACAAAGCGACTCTTGTAAAAAGTGACAATATTGTATTAAACGAACTTGCACCTGTGAATCCACGACACAGTCTAACTTTGAGCTCAACTTTCACAAACAAGGAAGCCTTCAATTACGTTGATTCGAGTCCAGAGCTGTCCAATGCTGAAGACAATTAACAAATCTGGTAGCCCCAGGCAAAACAACACAAAGCAGGATATTCTAGAAATAATAGTAAGAGGCGTTTTATCAGAAGAAAAGCAAGAACTGGTAATAAAATGCCACTGCACAATTCTTTAAGTTGTTTCTAGGAGCAGGATCATCCCATGGGAGGAATCTTCTTCTGCTATTATCTAACCTGTTGGATCAGGTCATAGAGTGTTTGACAAAAGATAAACCCATTCTTTCCACCCAGAATTATATACTGTGTAATTAAAAAAAAAAAAAATAATAATTTACAATTGAAAATATATGTAGCAGAAAAAGGGCAAGTTATACAGCTAGGACATAGTGTGAAGAGATTATAATACAGACACTCTGAAATACTATCAGTCACAACATTTTATTTGCATTAAGTGAAAATATATTGTCACAGTTATAAGTGATTTATTACTGAAGAGCTAGCTGCTTGAGCAAAGACAGATAGATAACCTCCCTGGGGTTTTGGTCTGGTCATTTTTTTCCTTATAAAGAAATTCATATACTACAAATCTAGTATTTTATTGTTTCTCTAAGACAGCAAAATGTGCAAATAGTAAACTCTCATAGGAGTGCTAAACATATTTTAATTTAAAAAAATAAAATGAAGTCACCAGTTTAAAATTATGTTATACTTAATGCAAGCCAACATTAAGCAAAGTATGTTACTGTAGGTGTTCTTTTTTTCCTGTGCTTAGTGGCTGTTACCAATGGAGGATAACAAAATTTTTAAAGCAATAATGAGAACTGAAACTCAGTTGTGAAAAAATGACTGAACTCATATAAGCTAAATAGAACTTTTCAGTGTTGAGAAAAGAAGCCTTATGTTGACTTATCAAAAATGAACACAGAGCAAAGCAGTCTGACACCAAGAAACTGGAGCAATGGAACAAATATTGGAAAGCAAGCAGAGTCAAGAAGGCTTGAAAATGAGGGTAAGAGGGGTTTACATTCGGAAAATTCCTAAGTTTAACAAAAGTAAGTATTCTTAAAGACGCTAAAAAACCTTTTGGAATGGTCCTGCTGAGATTGCTCTGGAAAGTGTCAATCTTCCGTGGAAAACCACATTTTCTCAAAAAATTTGATTTCCCATGTGAAAAACAGGCTTGCTGGACAGATTTCCATGTCTGTAAGTGGTAGTAGCATCGTGGAGGGGAACTGAAAGACAAACCCACAAGCATAGTGAAAGGCACAGTGGTGTCTTCCACTAAATGCTGAACTCCTTCATTTACAGTCATCTTCCTGGGCCCTCACGGTGACTCTGCAGAGCATCAGCAGTGGCCAGGCACAGATGAGACTTTACTCACGAATGGCATCACTGGCCAGAAACAGTGGTGAGGTGAAACCTCTTCCAACTTTGCCCTGGCCAGCAGGGAACATGTAATGTTGTTTCCATTTGCCCAAGGCCAAGATGACTGTGTCTGTCTCCATTGGTATGTGCCTTTCACAGCAGTGATCCAATAGCTAGCTTTCTGAACAATTAAGTTATGCCCCAATAATTCTTTCTAATATCTACTCACGACACAAAATGTTCAACTGAAATCCAGGTATCTTCCTGTTGCTGATCACTGGTGAATATTTTTCTTTAACATTCACACCATGAGGATTATACTGGAAGATAGGAGATGTAAGAATAGGTTTTGCTGCTAAAGGAAGAAGCCATCAACTTGTGCATTCAATGTAAACATAAACATTCACAAGGTTGAATCCTTAGATATGTTTTTGCTCCTTTTGTGGAGTTTTAACGGCATATATATATTTTATACATAGAGAAAATTAGTTTTAGAGGTTTTTACTTTTTTTTTTCCTCCATACATTGCATTTTAAAATAACACTACATCTCAGTTCTGAATATGATTGTGAATGGAATCATACTACTGTGCTAACAAATACTGAGTGTGCTCTGAATGGAGGGAATCAAAATCAGGATCTGCACTAAAACCAGAAGAGACAATAGAGATAAGAAAGGAAAAATTCCTGCTGGGTGACTGAACAAGCCACTGATGAAATTCAGGGTGCTGAGGATCTCACAAACTGGATACAAGCCCAGCACTACTCATTGACCTATGAACTATGGAAAAGAGAAGAGGAAAGAGATTATCTGGAAGAAAGAGAGGGGAAAACAGAGCCACTGCTGAATTATTATCCATTTCTGACCGAAATCCACTAGCCCGAATCCCTTGTTATTAGAAAATATAAAGCCATGGTTTTGCTTCCTTACATAGTCCATGCCTTATGCTGCAGCTCCTAATTGTTAGAGGATCCCATTTTACAGCCACCTGAAGGTCTTCCTAAAAAATTTTCCCTTACCTCAGTTTTGTCAAGGAATTCCTAGATTTTCACTATGAGATGAAGCATAGTGGCCATATACCTTGAATACAGCAGCATTTCGGTGTTATTTATTGCAAAATGTCCATTAGTGGGAGGAGAAGGAAAGGAGAAGGGGATTCATCTGGAATCATGTAAGAAAATAAGACTGAAAAAAAAAAAAAAATTCCTTTTATATTTTATTCCCTTGTTACCATAAAAATGTAAAGGCTTTTCAAATTCTCAAACGGAAAAGGCAGAAAATGGTTTAATCAAATAATTTCAAGACAGATGTTTTCAACATTATCAGAATATTTTATACTGTTTATCCTAACAAATATTTTTGTGAGATTCCTGTGATTTTAGAAACTATTCCCATTTAAATGGGTCCATGCATTCTTTGACTTAAAATGGTTGCAACAGAGTTTTACATTTTTGACTGAGAAAATGGAAAGTTTATAGTACTTTTGCACTTAGCACACCATGGAAGCTTTACCATGCAAAGGAGAGGAGTCACACCAAATACTAGTCATTGTGTGACCATAAACTCTGCTTTCCATATACGGTCTTTGTGTGTGTCTTTGCATGATTCCAGCAACACCTGCTGTGGTTTTGTAGTGGACAAGTTGACTCCAAAAGCCAAACCGAGCAGCCTGGTGCAAAGCCTATTTAGAATTGCCTTAGTTCAGCTATCCTTCCATTAAATTTATACAAAGCTGTTCATGTAACTAAAGGCCGTATCTATGATTGACAGCTGGGAAAAAAAAAAGGCAAAAAAAGACACAGAAGTAAAAATGCCAACAGGATGTAATTCTTCAAATAGAATTTATTTTCATGGGAGTCATCAGATGCTCCTTCTCCACTTGTGCAATTTGTAGACAGTAGTACTGTGCCATAAATTGGATCTATAGTCAGTGAAACAAACACTTCAGACACTGAGGTTATTGTTTCTGAGCCTACAATTTCTAGATAAAATATTCATGTCACGATCATACATTTTACCTTCATATTTTAACATTTGTGAATAGCACTTACTTGACAGGGTTTTTTAACTCCTTTGCATGAGATGTGTTCATAAAATCAAGCTTAAGAACATAGCTGAGATGTCAAAAAAAGTTAAGATTTCATTATTTGTCCAAAAGGGATGCTATATGTATTATAAATAAAACATACTTTTGTGAACCTGAAATGAATGTAAACATTAAGTGGATCAAATGAAGTAAAAGTCATATTTAGTCTTTTATTTTCATATAGTACAACAATTTAGAATTTCAAATATAAGTATCATAGGAAAAAAAACTGTTATTCATTTTTCCTTCTGCCCTTCAAGCGTATTTGATCAAGTTCCATGTGCAGTAAGTTATTGTAAGTCTGCTATTAATCAGGGCAGTATTTGTGGCTGTTGTTAAAAAAAATACAAAAGTATATTTTTGTCTGTGTCAGAAATGTTATATTAAGATTATACCTAACAAAACAGATAGGAAACATAATAGAGATATATATGGTTTAACTTCATTTGTATTGTATTCAATAGTGCCCATGCAATTCAGAAAAAGAAAACCCAAAAAAACAACTGTCTGGTTTTGGGTCTGTTTTGTCCATCTATTAAAAATAAAGATGTTTATTTTATTACCACTCAGCATCACCTGAAGTTTTGTGTTGCAGGCATAGCCCCACAGAGATGAGATGGCCCCGGCAAAGAGGGAGCTGGTCTTCACTCAGGGGATCAGTGGGGCCACCATGGCTACAGTCCTGGACAATACTGTCCGCTGATGTTAAGGGGAAAATAAGACACACTGGCTTGTTTTCTAGAGCACTGAGGTGCTCACTCATGGAGTGAAACACAAGCTGGGATTTTCAAATATCGAATAGCATAGACGTTTCCTTGAGACAGTAACACTTAGGTCTCTCTTGGGATTTGGGAGTTTGATCACAGAATGGTTTGTGTGGGAAGCAGCCTTAAAGCTCATCTAGTTCCAATCCCCTGCCATGGGTAGGGACACCTTCCATTAGACTAGGTTGCTCAAAGCCCTGTCCATCCTGGCCTTGAACACTACCAGGGATGGGGCAGCTACAGCTTCTCTGGGTAACCTGTGCCAGCGCCTCACCACCCTAAAAAAAAAAAAGATGCTTAAACACTGGCGAGATGTGTCCCCTCCTTTCTGTTGTCCTTTATGAAGGAAGTTAAAGCCATAAATATGATCACAGCAAACCCACAGCTGAGGAATTACTGCTAGGAGGTGGATTTCGGAGATTTAACCTTTAGAAAGCATTCAAAGGAACTCGGTTCTCAGGGGAGCGTTTGCACCTGACTGTCTGCGGCACTCACCTTCTGTGACCAAGACTACAAAAACAGATAAAGGGAAACATCAATCTAGGCTGCAAGGGATATGTTGTGACTGGGAGAGACACATACTATCTCCATAATTGGTGTTAATAAATACCAGGTGGAAACCAATGTAAATGAGGTTGTAGTCAGGCCTAAGACTATGTTAGAGAACAGGGTAGTAGGGGTTAAAAAGAAAGTACTTCTGTGGATTAAAGATTTCGTAAGGTTGACTATATTTAACTGATTTAGGAAAAATTGTAAGGTGAGAAGGAAACGATTAAGTTGTTTATGGACTAATGTAGGAAAGCTGGGCAATGACGTAGAAGAATCAGCACTATTGAAGCAAGGTATGAAAACCTCTCATACAGGGTAGGAGAAAGATGATAGAATAGCTCTTTTTAGATGGAAAAGAATTTGAAAAGAGCATTTTCTGAGGTTATATACTGGATTATATAGGCTTAAAGAATATGGGCAGACACACTTTCAATATTATTAATGAAAAAAACACTACTTCAAACTGCATGATCATGTAAACTTTTTAAATCTGGCAGAGACCAGGAAAAAAAGTCTTTGTATTGGTAGAAAATTAGTAGTTTTAGTCCTGTGGGCAATAGATTCCCTTCTCAAACAGACAACACACAGAAAAGAAAGTGTGCTATTTCAATTTCGTACTTAGAACATAAATACAGCATTGCAAAACGTCTGGTGATAGAAAATAGCCTTGTACTGAAAGCTGAGAGTGATTAGATTGTCTTCATATACAAAAAGCAGTAAGAGGATATATTTAAGCTGAAAATATATTAATTTAAATGGATATAAAATACCACAGGATAGATTTGGAATGGGAACTAAAAGCAAATTCCTCATCACATGATTGAATTTCTGAAATAGTTTGAATATTGTCGACAAAAAGCAAAAATTGTGCTGCAAGAGATCCTATGAATCAAAGAACATGTTGTAGGGTGTGTTGTAGTCCAACATCCCATGTTGCTCCTTATCCTAAAGCGCATCATCCTAGAAGCCTAAGCACACTTGAAGTAAGTTTAGAGTGGTATCCTTTAATGTAAAATGACAGTAATAAATTCTTAGCCACTTGTTAATTCTTCCAAGTGAGAGTTTTCTGTGGTTATGACTCAAGCACTAAAATTCTTTTATGAAATTTGGAAATGACAAGGCCATTTTTTTGCCAAGCTACTAATGAATTTCATTGCAAGCAAAAGGAATTGAATATATCCTGCCAATTTACTAATGGAATATAATTATTATCTACATATAAATAACAGAGGGTAGATTGCTGTGCTTTGTGTTACTCAGCAGTTCACATCCATCAAAGCATTGGAAATAATTTTCAGGACTCAAAGGGAAAGATGCTCCCAAACTGATGCATCACTGAGGGCATGCATGCCATCCAAGCAATGGGGCAGCTCCAGTTATCTTCTGATTACATAAAACACAGATTATCTTTCATTGATGATATACTGATGACAGAGATGCCCACTTTATGTTAGCTATGTGAGTAACCTGGCTGCAGAGCCATGTCTGTGAAAAGCTTGTCCTTCTTTGAGGATGGGTAGGATCATTGCCATGGTGAGAGAAATGAAAAGGTGCCTGCTGCCCACCATACTCTAGGTTTTGCCTTTGCCTCTCCCTCCTTTGGCACTTCCATTGTTTTGGTCTATGGTCAAGCATATTGATTAAACCTGTCCTCAGCACCACAGTGGGTTGTCTGCATATGATCTTGCATATAGCCTACAAACCAACAGTCTGTCAATAATAGGAGAGAGACACCTTTAAAATATCATATCATCCCAAAGAATCTCAGAAAAAGCAGTGAAGTTCTGCTGGGTTCAATTCCATGCTATACTGAGCAGTTCCACAAGCCATCCTTTTAACAAATTTGAAGGTTTCCCTTTTTTCTCTCGCATATACCAACACCTCTGAAATCCAAAGTACTTTATTTTGCCTTCCCCCACAGTGTAGTTTTCCCACTTCAGCAGTGATCAACAATTACTGTTGTCATCACACAAAGTGCAAGCATAGGTGCTCAGCATGTAAAAAGAATATAAGTAGTTAGCAACAAAAAAGATTTCTAGCCTCTACAGTTTGTTTCTTACACACAATGAGGTGATAGAAATATAACAGAGAAGTAAACTAAGTACTAGAGGTAATATAATTATTCATGGCTAGTATACCAGAGAGCTGTGTAAACTTTATTATTCTATGTGACTGTGAAAAATAGATTATATTCCAGCAAAGCAATGAACTAACAAGTTTTGCTTCTTGTTTTGTGCTCATCAGGAAAGTAATGAGATGATGTTTTTTATATGACTTATCAGCTCTGTGGGATATTGTTAAACGTACACTCTAATTATTCTCTCAAAACCACATACTAATTGCAGATTAGTGATAAATTTCAGTAACTAGATAAGACAGCCAACCTACAAAGGACAACTTCTATTCCTAAAGTTTTATGGTAGGCTATTAAAATGAGTTATTCCACTTGCATAAAGCTACAGAGAACACCAGGTTGTGGCTTGGTAACAAGACAGAAAAGTAACTATGGGTTCTAATTCAGATAGGAGACATTTTTTGTCTCCAAGTATTGTCAAGACAACTGCCAATAAAAATGCAAATATCTGGAAAACCGTCTTATAGAGCCTCTGAATTGTAGCCATGAGACCATGATGATACCTTCCTGCTATCACACATGTGAAACGCACTGTCGAGCAGCATCAGCTGTCCATGTAGAGAGAAAAGTTGCAGAAACGCTTTCCTCAGGAGGGAAAGGAAGAAAAATTTGAACCCTATGAGTTAAAAATCTAATCATCCAGAGGTGTAATGGTTACTGCCAAAGGCTGATTGGTATTCCTCTACTGCATAAATTAGTATGATATTTGTACAGTGTCTGATATCTATGGACTCACTA